TCTATAGATCCCTGAATTTGGATTCTGGCTGTGTTATGATGAGTGACACTTTGCCATCAGATGTCATTGGTCGAAGAGTTGAAGTTAATGGAGAACATGCAACTGTGCGTTTTTCTGGCATTGTCCCTCCTGTGGCAGGTAAGTTATGATGTTCTGTGTGTATATATATGTGAATTTTTCAGGTGTTTCTGTGTAGGCTTCCCCATGTTGCCTGTGTGGTCCTGGAGATTGAGCCCAGAGTCAAGTGATGTACTATTACACTACATGAGCCTATGTGAATGAGTGTGTTTGTGTATGTTACTGGGAATTGAACCTAGGGTCACTGAACTGAATTACATCTGCAGAGGAGTTTTTTTAAATTTTTATTTTGAGACAGGATCTTATTAAATTCTACTTGCTGAGCTCCAGCTTGTGATATACCTGTCTCAGCCTTTCAGAATGCTGGGGTTCTGGGCATATGTTACTACATCTGACTTTAAAAAAAAAAGAAAAACAATACAGAACTTCAAAACAAGATGACAGAAAATCACCATCAGTCATTATATCTCATGTGGTTATATTCAAAGCAACAGCCCAGACCACCAGACATAGGCATGCAAAATTGTTCAAACAATCCTTTCTGCTTTTTGAGAAAAAAGTCTTGTTGTATAACCCCAGTGTTGCTTCATACTCACTGTATATCTCAGGCTGGGCTAGATATCTCAGTCTTTCTCTGTCAGCTTCCCAAATGCTAGGATTACAGGTTTGTGCTACTGTGCCTGCTGCCAGTCCTTTTTAAAATTTTTTAGACATTTTTTGCTAGCCCAGGATGGTAGAGTTGTAGGCATGGATGACCATGCCCACCTTACAAGTACTTTATATTACCAATCACGAGAAAATTAATAAGCCAGTAGTCTACAGACTACTTATATGCAGTCAGCCTTAAACATCTTCTGAATAAGCTTTAAACAACCAACAGTCTTGAATTTTCATACTTTCAATTTAAAACCTAAGTAATTTTTGCTATGTATGGTTGTGGACACCTATAGTCTTAGCTACTTAGGAGGCTGAGGTGGGAGGATCCCAAATTTGAGGCCAGGCAGGGCAGCTAAGCAAGACTGTGTTTCAAAATGAAAAAACAGGGAGCTAGGGAGATAGCTGAGTGGTATAAATACCTTTCTGGCAAGCATCAGGACCCAGGTCCAATCCCTGGTACCTCTTGCCAAGCTGGCCCCATGCTGAGCTAGCCGCTGAGTCCAGGTATGGTGGTACACTCCTGTAATCCCAGCACTCTCCATAGCTGACACAGGAGGATCACTATGACTCTGAGCCTCATAGCAAGATCCTGTATCCCCATCCCCCAAAAAATGAAAAAACAAAACAACCCTAATTTTTTTTAGAAGAAAGTCTCTATTAGTCCATATTTGCGTATATTTAATACATTAAATTCATAATACATGCATTTTTTAAAGATAGCATATAATTACCTGTGTTTTTGTAAAATTATTTACTTAGGTTTTTATAGTATAGCATAGTTTATTTAATGATTTCCCATTTTTGGACATTAATTTATAATTCTTTTACTTTTAAGAATAACAGTACAGTCAACCTACTTATGTGTCTGAGTAAGTACAGAGGTACTCAGTGATAGCCTTAGATCTGTGTGTGGAGCCTGGTCAATGTCAGCATCATGTGATTAGAAACATATTTTTGTGGCTCAGTGGAATAAG